TTCTGTTCGCCGGTCAAGCTCTACAAAGGAGTGCGGTACTAGTTTCCACGCACAACCAAGCTCCATGTATAAATACGCAAATATTTTGGCGGGAAAACTGCTAATTCGGGAACTACAGAAGCCGGAAAGTCAAAATTTCAAGAGAATGTTTCCTGTTCAAGCACAAATTATAGATCTCAAATTCACTTCCTAGTTACGCGTGATTCTCGCGTACAGGTACATAAAATTTCCGGCGGGAAGGTTGATCACTTTCGGTTGATTCTCTTTTCTAGCCAGTTATGTTCAGATGGTGAACTTGCCCTAATGATCAAAAATTTGTAACGGGAAATGAATGCTAATTGCCTCGCTTTTAATAAGATTCGCAGTGCTAACCTAAAATAGCTATGTTGAGTAGTTTGAACCAACCTTCGGCATTGCTGGCAGATCCTTTCAGAAACGTGCTGAGTAAAAAAATATTTAAAAAAAAGGATTTATCGGGAAAAACCCGATTAAATATAAAAGATTTTGCAGATTCCGATCATGCCCAACTCAGCTGTCGCCGCGGGTTGGACGTAGCCGATGTGTCGAAAGATCCGGCCCCTACTACGCAACCGGTTATGCGTCACGTTCCGGTTGTATTCCCGACTTCTAGAACTTTCATTGTTGCACCATTCTCAAGGATGTCCGGTCGTCGAACAGAGAGTAATCAGCAAGGTGCTCCTGCAGGTTTGCGAAATCGAGCTAGACCAGAATCCACTCTGTCCTCCAAACAGCTCGCACCATTTGGAAGCACGACTTCGAGACAGGAACAGGTGAAGTATTCGCGGAATCCCCAGTCAAAATTTTGCGGATTTACTCGACAGTGCTCTCTGCAGAATCGTCTGCAACCACCAGAAAATTCCAGGTTTTGTGAGCGATCCTCCTGCTTTTGCTTAACTCCCCAGCAGCAGTCGTTACGTTCTGCAAAAACAGAAACGAGCCAATCACCGAACGCTTTCGATGGAGCTCTTTCATCGCCAACTTACTTGCAGGCTCTGCTCGAATCACCTGTAAAAAACAGGAAAGAAACTGCGGATTCCCCGAAACCACTTAAATATATTAAAATTCACTACGGACCTTCACCTGCACCTGTCATCAAGCAGCAACCGCTACGAACACGTTCCACGGATATCCCTTCGCCAGACACTGACCGCTTCCGGGAACAGTGCCCAGCTGATTTTGATTACTACAAGTACTTGAGACCGGCGCGCCGTGACCGATCAAATGCACAGAATCAGAGAGTAACAGTTGTTTCAGCAATACCTGATGATGCAATAGAAGTGAGAAAAAAGACACCCTGTTATGCACAATCAGAACGCCCTAGTACCATATATAGTGTTAACACATAGACCTGTGATTCGATTTACA